AATGCCTTTATATGGCTTACATGACTTTATATGCCTTTAAATGGCTACTTCCTTGGCATCCATCAAACATCACGCAGTTCAAATCCTCACGCAAACAAGCCTTTCCGCCCACAAATTGGTGGATCCATGGGGGGGGGGTAGCATATATATATATATATATGTCTCTCTCTCTCTCTCTCTGCAAGCCTGTGTGTGTATATAAATATATATTATGCATAATATATGCGCCAGTAAAGCTTTAAAGGGCCTGAAGCCCAACCCCACCCCAGCCTGGGACGTCTCGGAGAGCCATGCTTTTTGGAGCTTTTGCGCGTCGCCACCCATAGGTGCTGTGCTTGAGCTTTTCCGTTAAGGCCTGCTCGGAGCCGCACGTTACTAAAACCTAGTCCCCCCTTAAGTAGATAGAATATGGGGTATATGGGGGGTCTTATTTCAATATACCCAAAGCCATATTCTATCTACTTAAGGGGGACTATACTTAGTAGCTGTATATCATACCCTACCTATAACTATGATTACCTGGCTTGACTGGGTTATAACTACAATTACTATTATACCCTATCTATAACCATGGTGACCTTGCTTGATTGGGTTATAACTACAAGTACTAAGTGGGTTATAATGAGCTGTTTCGCTAAGGCCTGCTGAGCGGGTTTAGGCCTTGGGGCTTCTTAGAAAGGGCTCCCTACCTGAAACCAAAAACCCCAAACCCGTGCCAGGGAGGGCCACGGAGGCTGCATTACTGATACAGGCTATGCAACTTTCTTGCTATGGGTCATGATTTGAGAAAGTGGGCAGCCTAAAGTTTTTAGGTTAAAGGGTTTAGGGTTTAGGGGGTAAAGAGTTTAGGGTGCTTCGACATCGTCTACATCTTCTCTGAAGAAACCCTGAACCCTAGCCCCTGAACACTGAAGCCTGATCCCTATCTGAATCCCCAAGACCTAATCCCTAAATCCAAAAAAAAGCTGGGGGACGTAGAGAATATACCTAAATTCCCCAATAAACCATCACCGGCAATCAAATTATTAACCTACTTCCACAGTTCCCCTGACCCTAAACCCTAAATCCCCAAAACCCTAAACCTTAAAACCCTAAAACCCTAAACCCTAAACCCTAAATCGCTCTCCTTCAGGCTTTCTTGGAACTCCAGCAGCACTTTCTTCTCAAGCTGTTGAGGTGCGAGAAGCCTCCCAGCTTGAGTGTTGGGGCTTGGGTGTTAGAGCGCTTTGGGTTTAGGGTTTAGGGTTTAAGGGTAGGGGTTATGTATATTATGGTTCTATTAGGGCTATATTGGGATAATGGAAAAGAAAATAGAAACTACTATAATGGGTTATATAGGGATTATAGGGTATATATTGGGGCTATATTCGGATAATGGAAAATAAATGGAAACTAGCATTTATGGTTCAAGCTTTGAGGGCTTGGAAGAACCTCTTTCTTGATTGTTATTGGGTTTGTATATACACCAAAAGGTCGAAAGTCCATCAAACGCGGGCCAGCGGCACTATCCACAAACTTCCAACTGCAAGAATAACTTGATCCTCAAGCAGTCAGGCTGTGCAGACCCCTGGGTTTTGGCTGCGTTCGTTGCCCTTTAAAGCGATTCATTAGTTGTTGCCACTGTAGCTGTCGGACGGAAGGGATAGGAACCTGGGGAAGACGAGGACTAGCAGATAGAAGTAGCAAATTTTTGGGAGCTTCTCAAGAAAGGGGCCGCCTGGCGACCCTGAGGATATGTAGGGAGTTAAACGGGATAATGGGGGTCCTTATTGAGATTTTGTAAAGATTGTTGTGAGAAACTCCCATATTAACCAGAGAATGGCAGGTAAAGAATTAATAACAGCAAAATTCAGAGGAACAGTAGACAAAAGGGAAGAAAATAGAAGTA